TGAACCAAAAAGATATGCTTAATTCAAATCTCCAAGTTGTTCAAAATTGATGCCACTTGAGAAATATTAGGCCTGCACTTTCTAGAATTCCCGACACAAGCTGAAGCAACTTTTGCCAATCTAACAAGTGGGTTTGTATTGGAAGGAATCACGAGTCTTGGATCCAAAACTTCGTTCAATCTCATTTGTTTAATCAAAGGCAATGCCCATTTAACAAGCAACCCTTCTTCACTTCTCCTCCCACTTAAAATCTCCAACAAAACTACACCAAACCCATAAACATCACTTTCCTTTGAACCGCCACTTTGTTGTTCTTGATCAACCCAATACTCTTCGTCAACATACCCAACAACTCCTCTTGCCATCTCTTTCTTTGGTGCCAAAAACCCTAACCCATAATCGCAAATCTTTGGACAGAATTTTACATCTAATATTATATTTGAAACCTTGACACACCCATGAACAATGCTTGGCTTCATCTCTTCATGCAAGTATTCAAGACCTTTGGCTACTCCAGCTGCAATCTTCAACCTCTGACTCCAATCAAGAAGTGTTACTCCATCTGGGTTTTCATGCAAATAGAAATCCAAACTCACCATGCCCACAAGCTCCATCACAATGATTCTCTCACCAGGAGCCTGTGAAAACCCTAAAATTGGAACTATGTTCTGGTGTTGAGCTAAAGATAGAGTTTTTATCACAGAAGAAAACCCAAATCCAGCATTGCTCAAAACAAGACCCGGGTGTATTCTTTTGACTGCAACAAGCTCCGATGTGGGCAAAGTGGCTGCATAAACAATCCCTAACCTGCCTCTACCGATAATTCTTAGATTGTTGAAGCCGTCTGTTGCTGCATCTATGTCAGTCAATGGATATGTCCGGGCAGAGAGCTTGATGGGAACCAGTCTACTCTCTTCTGATTCCATTAACACTGGTTTTCTTTTCCTGCAAACGATCACAAGAACAATACCAAGAACAACTGAAGTTATTGAAAGAAAAGCCAAGACGAAATCATAAGCGATCTTTTCATCCATTTCTCGTGTAATCTTGGGCGGTACGCAAAGTGTTGTTGTGGAAAGAGAAGAAGAAAATGAAGAGGAGTCGTGTTGTTTGGTCCATAAAGTTGAATGTTGAATTGGGTTTATATATATATATTTATATATATATGAAAGAGATTAAATATGGGAAGAAGATGAAGAGAAAAGTAAAGAGGAAAGAGAGCTTAGGTTTGAAAAAATGTGTTTAGATTTGGTAAGAGAGTTGGAATTCTATGGCTACGTTTGGCTTTGCGGTTGGCCGCCCCCGGTTGTCCTTCCCTCACGACATAGAAAAATGCATACCTTATAATTTAAACTCATATTTTTATAGAAAATAACCATATAGTAAACAAAAAAATTAATAAATAATAGAAAATTGAAATTAAGATGTGTGGTGATTAAGTAATTATCTGAAAAGAAAAAATAAAAATTAATTTAAATATTAAACAAGCTGGTACGTAATCATTATGTATCATAATCTACGACGAGATTATATAATATTATTATTGTTTATAAAATTTTATGTTAAAATATATATTATTATTTATTACCCATCAGTAGAACTTTACACGGATTGGGATGAAATTTTTTAATTAATATCTCATCTTATGATTGCTAGTTGAGTTCACCTCTATTTTGTCTTTTGTGACCATCTATTAAGAACAAATAGATATATATATATATATATATATATATACATATATATATTTGTTAAAGCACACATTCAATTTCTTCATGCAACTAAACATCACATGATTAGATTAGTTGGAAGAATTTTATTAAAAGAAAATTAAAGTCATAAGTGTAACAAGTGATCAATTATTATTTCACTTAATGATTAATACGTTTTACTTTTTATAGAAATCAAATTAAATTATATATTTATTGAAAAATCATTTATATTATATTATAATTAACATATATATATTATTTAATTGATGAATTTACATATTATCTATTAAAAATTATAAATATGTATAATAAAAGACTTATAATTTATATTAAAAATTATGCCATGGTAGTCCACTCAAATTCAAGTTTGGTTAGTACTCTTACCTACCGCCCCATTTGAAAAAAAAAAAAAAAAAGAAAAATTAGCATGACCTAAATCCACCCAAGAAGCATATTTAAATGGTTTATCTTCAAAGGAGATGCCTCATAAACAGAGAAGATGTGATGGCAATAAAAACATAAATGAAAAAAAAAATGCAATATAAAAGTAAAACAAAACAAAAGATATATATAGTTCCATGATGTAATACATTCTACCGGTATAATATTTTAAATTCCTATAATTTTTTTTTTTAAAAAATACAAATGTAATATCCGCGATTTTAATAAATTTGAAAATAATGATAATAATAATAATTTATAAATTAAATTAAACACAAAAGTATATTTAAATATCATAAAATAAAATTATTTATTCTTGAAAGAACTTAATTACTGGTATTTAGTTTTAATGACTTTATATAATAATTTATGAAAATTTATTTGTAAAAATTTATTTGTTTTTAAAAGAATTGATAAAAGAAAGAAACATGGGCACTAGGATGGTTACTAATTTGATGAAAAGATTATTATTTATTATACTCTAATTTTGTTAGGATAAAATGAACAATAATAATAATTATAATAAAATCTAGTAAATTAATAACTACAATAATAAACAAATTACTGATATTATTATTATTAGTCTTTTTTTTTTAATTTTATCACTTCATATTTTTATTATCATTTATTTTTACGTTGTTTTATTATGGTGAAAAGGAAAGGGGAAAATGCAAAACAGTAGGAAGAAAGGGCGGCCCAGATTGTTCTTTCTTTCTCATGCGTCTGTTTGCAATTCAAATCGTACCCCACCGGAATACGGATCAAGAGCCCAGCCCAAAAGCAGCTCATCATTGCAACGACGCCGTTTAGACCATCATGGAAACGACACCGTTTAGACCATAATGGAAACGACACCGTTTTAGCCGATACCTGAAACTGACGCCGTTTTAGCCCATGATCGAAACGACACCGGTTAGCTCATAACTGAAACGATACCGTTTAGCTCGTTCACTGAAACGACACCGTTTGAACCATAACAGAAACGACACCGTTTGACCCATAATGGAAA